ACAAGAATTAATTTAATTCGGCTAATTTTCAAAATTCAAAAAAAAGTACTAGCAGCTTGCTTTATGGATTCAAAGTAATGATCTAAGCTTTATCATTCTTAAATAGTTAAAGAAAGTTAATATTTATCAGATTTAAAAAAATTGAAGCAAAAATAATGAAATAAAATATGATTTCTGATATTTGATACATAAGTTTTGTGACTAAATTTACTCTGAAAATTATATAAAAAAGATAAGCATTACTTTTGCTTAAGTTAACATGTAAAAAGCTCATTTTACCGTTTATGGTTTATATTTGCTTATTCATTAAATATACATATATAAATATTTTTTTGTGCACATATTAATAATAGTTTACAAGTGACGAAGTGATAATCAAATAACTGAATACTTTTGATCAAACTTAAAAAAAACAAGAAAATTCAATTTCTATTACAAATATATATTTTTAATCAGTATTTAAATACAAATTAAAAAAAAATACATTCAAAAGTAAATGTGTATGTATGTATGTGTGTGTGTGTATGTGTGTGTGTGTGTGTGTGTGTGCGTTTTTAGATATTAGATGATAGAGTTTAGCATTAAATATTAACAATATGCAAATACTGAACTATAACTGTAAAGAAGTGCAAACAAATGATAGAACGTACACATCTCATCATTTTATTTTCATTTTATGTCAACAAAACAAAATAAATAATTTTTTAACAAGTATAGAACAGAAAATGCTTACATTGAAATGAAAGTAAGCAAAATAGTCGAATACAATAGTACAGAATTTTGATTGATTCTTGAATAAAATACTAGATAAATATAATCATAGTATCTTAATCAATGTTTACTTTCTTTACATATTTGATTCATCTAGCAAAGTAATCAAATAAAGCTTACATTATCGTTGCAGTTTTTAATTTCAATATTTACCAAAAAATCAAAAATTTTGTATTTTTTGTAAAAGACATTTATAATTTTTGTATGAGAGAGAGTGAGTTGTGTGCTCTAAAAATTCAAATATTAAATGATAAATTTTTATTCTAAACCAACAATTTTTTCCATTTCAAATATTTTAAATCATAACTTTCCAAAGTTTGCTTTTACTTTGGAAAACACTTTTTGTTGTCTGCGTTATTCGTTTTTATTTAACTCAACAAGTTTATTCCTAATACTACAACATTTCTCATTAAAGTACTACAAATTACAACACAAATTCATAGAATAATACCGTAAAAATATAATTTGAAAGTCATATAAATTCATAATCAAACTTTTATTACAATAATAATTACAATAATTAAGCGTAAATGCTGAATAAAAACAAATAATTTGAGGAAGAAAAATATATTTTCAAAAAATAAACGACTTATCGAATACAAACTAAAAATTCTAAATTTGATTTAATAGCTACAAACAAATACAAATGCTAATATAGAAAATATTAAATATAAATGTCAGCTGATAATGTCATGTTACAAAGTATTTAATAAAAGAGTAATACAAATTTGTTGATTTGGTGAAGATGAAAAATTCTTCCACAAATGCTATTTTGGACAATGTTGTTTATCAGAATTATAAATTCAAGTATTTAATTATAATTTATTAGATTAAAAATTTATTAATGAATCATCTCATCAGTACCAAAGCACTATTATTATGCCTTATGGTAAAGATTCTTTCATCACATCATAGTGCAAAATCAAAGTTTTGTTACACAAAATATTGCAAATACAAAATTACGTGCTTGCAGCATTAAAAAATGTATATTATTACGTCAATCTAAACGGTATTCTTCTAATTCAAGTCACATTTCATAAGCTATTATACTTTTTATCTATGCTAATTTAGAATGTACTTAAATTAGCAATAAGATTCCATTATGATTGCCTCGTGTATGCAATGAAGTGATCAAGCTTACAGATCACGAGGAAAGGTACAAAGTTGGCAGATGTGATGAAGAAAAGTGAAGAGTAACGTACGTAAAAACTGAAATGGTAGTGACAAGAGTGATTGATTATTGTTCCTTCCGAAGTAGGCAAGCAGAGAATAATTTAAACTTTTATGCATTTTAGACGTAGGCTAGAAAAATTGTTTGTGATGTATTTACAAGAGCAAATATTTAAGCAAAGTTTTGTTGCTTAAGAATAAAAGTGTTTGTAACGAAGAATGAACATGCGCATGGAATAAATGATTCTGAAACTACTTGTGCGTTTACTTATTAATACATTGCATTGAACAATTAAGTGATAACCTGATAGATTGATGGGCACGTGTTGAATAAAAATAGACAGAATCCTTATGGATCAGATGCATCAGAATGTCTATTACGTACGAGTATGAATAATGTGAGCAAAGCATTGCTTACAAGATAGTTTAAGTAATTCAACATGACATATTGGAACTGGAAGAATTGAAAAAAAAATTAGCACCGCAATTCTATCACGTGTTACCTCAGTGTAACTGAGTGATTCCACATGAAGCATTCTGTAGCATATCCAACCAGTTCTACGCTAATTCATCTATTCCGATTTGTTATCAAATCTATCAATTAATTTGTTAATCTTAGAACTAGTTTCTTCAAAGGAATCACATAAAAGAATATCTTTAACAATGTCTTTCAATTTAGTTTAATATTCAATAAAAAATAAAAGATTTGTTATTCAAGTATTGAAGTAATGTATTTCACGTTTGCTCATATTTAGCATAAACATGTATGAAATCTGCAACATTTATTCAACGATTGAAAGTAATTTGGTGACAAGAAAGAAAATACTTCACCGCTACATCCAGTTATCTATAGGGCGTATGAGAAAAATAAAGAAATCTGATAGATGTAAACTGCTGAAGCGTGCTGAAAGGATTCTGAGAAGGGAAGAGGCATGGTTCCTTCTGAAGGAACCATCTCGTATATATTATTAACAAATAACAACTTAATAAATTTTTCGTAGAGTAACACTACAACACGGTATAAATTTTCCACACAAAATAAAATTTCCCTATAACACGTATAAACTTGAATAAGTGACGATATATAATACTGTTTCTATTCTACATGGGTAGCAAGTATTTAAAGTTCGAGAAATCTCAGATCAGCGGAGAGCAATGAACGCTGGTGCTTAGGTTAGGTACTTAACAAAAACATGGTAGTACCTCGAGATGACGACAGGCTACCTCGATCAGATGTATGTTATGAAAGTATAGGTTTTGATGTGAGGTTTTCAGACTGGTAATTGAACTTTCAATCTGTGATTGAAAAAGTATTTACTCATAGATTGTGCATTTGGTGTGTATTACTCTATAGAACAAACAAACTTTAACACTAGTTGTAATTTTGGAAAAACAGTAATGCTTCTTTACAGTACTTTTCGGAATGACCATATAAACATTCATAATCGGTTTGTAGATGTTCACGTGGTTATTCTAGTATATGAGGTATGTGTGAATGTGTGAACATGAAATATCTATGAACGATGCTGGACCAAAAGTTCGTCATAGATTATGACAGATCACCAGATATAGAGGGAATGTATATTTGTGTGTGGGTTTGGACTTGTGTAACTTCGATACGTATGTGTCTATGTTTTTATGTGAATTTATATTTTGAATGAGTTCGAGGTACTTATGTAAATTAGAATGAAGCAATTAGAAGACATAATATATACCAGGATAATTTCAGAACCACCTGTGTCTCGAGACCTATACCTTAACATCAGATATGTCTTGGTAGATTAGTTTTAGGTGCAAAAGTATTTGGGTGTTATATTAGAGCATGTTACATTAAAGGGCCGCGTTATATTGTAGCGTGTTACATAGATCGTGTCATTATGTAGAAGTGTGTTACATTGAGGGGCCGTGTTATATTAAAGTGCTATGTAGTATTAGTAATAGATTTGAGTTTGCGTATTTGTTGATTTAAATTTTTGAAATCTTTTGTAGTTTACCAGTAAGATTTAATGTATTTTAATTTTCGGATGTTTTCTTTCTTGCTTTTCAGAGAAGGAGATATCGTAGTTTTGACAATGATTATATTTGTATAAAAAAATAAAAGTAGTGATTTGAATACAGTTAGCATTCGTTACTGTTTAATTTTAAATAGTTATTGTATTTAGTAGCAATGAATCCTTTGACGAATATTCGAAATCAAAACAAAATTAATGAACGTGAATTACTGCTTGGCTATGTTGGAAGTAACAATAAAACTTGGCATCAGAAATATTCAGATTCGGCCTGGATTTATATTGGTGGCTTACCATATGATCTAAATGAAGGTGATGTGATCGCGGTTTTCTCACAGTAATTTTTCCTTTTTCTCAAAATTTTCTTTTAAATTAGAAAGGCTTCAGTTACATATTGTTCAAATCAGCTATGTTTTCATTATTTTTACGTGACTTAACTTTCGTTGTTTCGTTGTTTTTTTAATCCTAAGTGTTTGATTAATCCTGGTTTGGATGAATGACCTATTTAGTCTAGTTTAGGACTAATTTAGCTCTTCAAGTTTTGACAAAGGTTGATCAAATTTTTGTCAAGCAAGAAAAAGAGCATTAAAAATTGTTAAGAGAATGAAGTATTCCTAAATTTGAAGTATTTTAAATATTTTTTATATGTTTGCATCTCTTCTTATGTTTCTTTACAAAAGTGATTTCCAAGTAGATCTGTTTCTATCTATCATGCTTATAGAATTTGATGTTATGAATACATAAAATGTCATTTATAAAATAAACTGGGACTTTAATCCACTAAACTACCTTTTATGTCCATCGTTAGCATTGAATTGCGTTGTTATCTTTAAGTAACTCTGGAAAATCATGAAATTATGTCTGAAATGGTGAAAGTGTCATAATTTTCGTGTTTTGTTATTTGTAACGTGGAGGTTTTGTTATAATGGAATAAAATCCCAGTTTATTTTTAATACTCCTCTATTTTTATCACCATTGATTAGTTTAAGTTTAAAGCACTCATTGTACCAACTGTATTAATTTGTTTGGAGAAGATAGTAATCATTTAATTAGTGAATAATTTTAGATATGGCGAAGTTATAAATATCAATCTAATTAGAGATCACAAAACTGGAAAGTCAAGAGGTTTCGCATTTCTGTGTTACGAAGATCAACGATCAACAGTTTTAGCCGTTGATAATTTTAATGGTATTAAGGTTAGATATTAAGACTTTTCTTAATTTTTATTTGTCTTAATTTGAATTTGCAGATATTTGAAGTAAACCTAATTTACTTCAGTTGTTGAAACGAATTATAAGAGTAGACCATGTAGAAGAATACAAAGTTCCGAAGTATCGTGAAGAGATTGATGAAGAAACGCGCCGAGTTTGGGAAGAAGGTTGTGCACCAAAGCCAATCACCATAGATCATGGTTTGTATACTTTATTTTTGTTATTAAGAAGAATTTAATCTAATTCTGAAAGTGATTCTTGCGGATTTAATTGTGTCACAGTCTTTCGATTTTTGAAGTACTTTCTAATGAATACTATTTAGATGAGTCTAAAGAAGATATAGACCCCATTGAAAACTTGAAAAAGAAGGGGGCAATCAATAAGGTTTGCTTTTTTATTCGTTTTATATAAAGGCTACTGTGTGCTGGTAGAACACTTTCATTTAACATCTCTAGCTGTTGTTTAAATGTTGAGTTGACAAATTTTTGTGCTCGAAAACAACCAAATTTATTTTAAAAGTTCGTACTTTATGTAATTTGGAAATTTGACTTAAAAATTCTCTGTTTTTTTTAATTGTAAAATTTAATTTTTGTTTTTATCAGTTGCAATACTGAAACATTAATTTAAGGATGGTATTTTGAAAGCAGACAAGGATTTGAAGAAAACGTTGAAAAAGGAGCGAAAAAGATTGTTGAAAGAGGCAAAGAAAGCAAAGAAGGAACAAAAACGTCTTAAACGGGCATTGAAAGAAGAAAAACGAGAATTGAAGCACAAGGATCTGGATGATACGTCATGGAAGAATCAAAAGAAATTAATTGATTTGGGGCCAGCAACGGTTGATTTTATAGGAAACATTATTTAAAAATTTTTAAGAGTATATTTAAAATATATGTCGAACTTTTTAGCTTTTTTTCAAATTATTTGTGTGAATTTGTTTTTACGTGTATACTATATTGGTCTTTTTTGTTCCCAATTATTTTTCGTGGTTGATTAAGTGTATATAATATTTGTTTCTTATTCAGGAAGAAGAAATTTATGGTGCTAATGAGCATTTCAATTTCGATCACTCGAAAAAGGAAATTCCACCTTTACCGACTCATAATCCGAGACCTGACTTCGAAAAGGCCGATTGGCGCGATATTGAAATGTGGAAAGCAGTGCGCGAGAAAGAAAAGCAAGAAAAAGGGGAAAAAGAAACTAATTGGAAGAAAGAAGAACATTATTTGCCTTCAAGATTTCGAAAGGATTGATCGGACTTTGTGCTTAATTTTATTCTCGTTTGTTTTGCTGAATTTTAATGTGATTGGTATATAGTTGGTGTTTCTCCTTTTTATGCTTTATACATATTTTGCGATGTGAAAATTGAAAAAGGACTTTCATTTAAAAATGATGTATATCTGTTCAGCGGGAAATATGTTACAGTGACCCGTTACAGCTTTTCATTATCATCTGCATAGATATAAATATTAACTTTTGATATAACTGATTGTCAATATTATTTGATTTTTTGCTAAAGTGAACATATTTTGTGGATATGTGAACTTAATCTGAGATATTTACTTCAGGATTCTTTTTAACTTTGCAAAGAAGTATTGGATAACAAAAAAGGCAACATCTGGCAATCTGGCATTTCTAATCTTTCCGATGTTACAGCAATAAATTAAGTAATTTTCTTTAAATGTCTTCTTCAATCATCTGTTCTAGAAATAATGACATTTAACATATCTTCAGTTATTACCTCATTTTTATTTTTGCAGGCTTTTTTTTTACTAATCGTAATGTTCAAAAATTTTTGTTAGTGTTCACTTACTATGTGGTATTTGTTTTTTATTTTTAGATTAGATTTGAAAATAAGGCTGCATCATTGCTATATTCGAAAAAAAAGTACTGTGTAGATTGAAAATTATGTCAGATATACGATTGAAAAATTGACATATAGCTGTAGCATGAGGATTAATTACGAGATTCCTTGCCTTAATTTTGTTTTAGAAACAAAAGTTACGAATGAATTTGTCAAAAGTTTTTGGATTTTCTGCATATTACATATCGTATCTATAATCTTTTGATCTGTCTATGTATGTATTGATCTACTTATGTATGTGTATACGTATGAGCAAACATTTAAATGACTAATAGCAATATAAAATTGTATTAAAGCTGTAAAAATATTTTAAAAAACAAAAAATTGTGAGAGTAAAATGCCGACTTCATCAATTATGCTAAATAGTTTTAGCTGTGAGATGCAAAGTGCAGTTGTCAGTCGGCTGACTAACTAACTACTTCAGCTGCTCAATTTCTAACTTCCGGAACTTTTCATCTGACTGAAACTTTCCCGTGGTAAAGTTTTTTATCTGGGAAGCAAATCAATTTCGTACGATGCAAATATGCGTGTAAACTGCGATTCCATCTGTGATCATCTTTTTTTTATTATATCAAATACTTTAAGAAAATATGCAAATTTGGGAGTGAAATTATTCTCAGAATTCTCACTTTTTCATGATCGAAGCAAATAATATATTTAAATTATATTAATTTGTAATTTGATGTGGTTTGTTTTCTAAATGGTGATTAGAGTTTTTCAGTTAGTCTTCATAATGATTCTTCAGAGTAGGCAGTTTCATTTCACTGAAATTTATTGCTAATTTGTTGATAGACAGATGAAGGTTTTTGTTCGGTTGATAAAGTTAGCAATTTTGAAAGTAATTTCTTCTCGATCTTAAAAATAATATCATAATCATTACGCTACTAGCATGAATATACATGCAAAAAGTAAATAAAAATTATTTCTGACATTAAAAAAATCAAATTTATATTTTTTTAATTACAGTTAATGGTTTTATAGTACTTTGCAACAATAGTCGTAATATGCTTTGTCATGGTTGATTGAAAGTAACTTCTGATAAAATTTTTCTGTTGTTGATAAATATGCAAATTTAGAAAGTCAAATGTGCCTTATTTTTATACAGAATAAGTCAAACAACAATTCTATCATACTTTTTATGTGTCGAAAATGCAAGAAAAATGAAACAGCAATTGCAATTTCAAAAATAAAAAACATTATGGAAATTGAGGATGCATTTTATGGTCAAGAATTGTTTTTACTATTATCTTTTAATATTTATATTTACAGTATTTTTGATAATGTTTTACGAGAACTAATTTAATAGAATAAAAATAGGTTTATTTCTTGCAACTTTTTATTTTCTCTACAAACATTTAGGTCTCTTGTAAAAATTTGCTTAATAAAAAAACTTGCAATGAAACAAAACTTCTCAATGATTTGTGATCGTATCATCAATTGCATTCCATCACTATTTTATCTTTTATTTATTTTTGCTTAAATTGATATTTTTCATTTCATTTGCTTTAAAATAAAAATTTATCAATCATAAAGTTCAATTTTACTAAAATTTTTTAAAGATTTTGACTGAATTCTTTTTATTTTTTATGTTTAGCAAAAATACTTCATGTAACATATTTCAAGCAAAAAATATGTCAGTACATTGCTTGTTTTAATTTGAAATGAATTAAATAATTATTTTATAATGAATTAAATTCTTAATTTCAAATGAATTAAATATTAAATAATACATATGCTTTGTTAAAAAGAGATAAATTTGTAAATCAGTGCATATTATTACTTAATTTTTAATTACATGAAATAATTATATCAAACGAGTACTGCAAACACAATTGCTTTTATCACTTTATCTTTTGAAAAATTCATTTCCTTCATACTTTAATTAAAGTTTGGGATTATCTATTTCTTATTTTAATTCAAAGATAGATTAATAGTTTGGTAATTAATATATTTATTACTTTGATTAAAACAGATGCTCAGAATTGAATCTACCGTAGTCTTAAATAATTAAAAAATAACTTCGAGTAAAGCAAATGATTTGAGTAAATACAAAATAGATGGATGATATGCACAGTGTTGATTGCATTTTATGTTTTAGTTTTCAAATCAAAAAAAAGCAACTTTAATCTAATAAATAAACAAATTCTAATACTGAATTATCGCACATTTACTGCTCAAATAATACTTCAAATGTTTAATTTCGATTAAACTATTTTAAAATTAAAACTATAAAAGTTGCAATAATTTAAAAATTAAAGTTTGCAATCGTACATAAGTGAATTTTAAATTATAAAAGATAAATTTCAAATTGTTATCTAAAGAAAAAATACTTTGCTATAGAAATTAATTTGAAAAACAAATAAATAGGATTTTAGTTTAAAAGTTTAACAAGTTAAAATTTTATTTTTTGCTTCGTATTTTATTTTAAATTATTAGTTCGTAATTGCTAATTTAAATTTCAGATTTGATTTTATTACTGTTTCTATTTTTCAACTGCTTATATTTCAGAAGAAAAAAAACAGTACTTAGTAATGAATTTGTGCTAATGAAACCGAAAGCAATTAAAAATCACTTTATTTTATATTTTAAAAATAAAAATGATCAAAAAATAAATTTATAAAAAGTATTCAATATTTAATGATTGTAAAATCAAAAAAATGGAAATTACTCTACTAATTAACTTATATTTTTAAATAAAATTTTTTGCAAAAATTAATTCAAGAAAAAACAAGCACTGCTTTTTTGAACTACTATTTTTTGCTAAATATTATCCTTCACGTTTTGCGTGAACTTTCATTAAATACTTTCTTTTTTTTAATAATACAAAATTTCTATCGTTTCAAATTTCAAAAATTCGTTTTTGGTCAAATTTTTGAAGTAAATTATAAATTTATCGCTCAAAAATGTTTTAAAAAGCACACAAATTAAAAAATTACATTTAAAAGTAATTTAAGTGTTTAAAACAATTTTAATTGTGTAAGACAACTTTTTATTTAATATTTCTAATCATTTCAAAATTAAATTTCTTATTTAGTGTAGTTTACATCTTAGTCGACACTGCAATTAATATTATTCAAAAAAACAAAGAAAAACAAAATGAATGGATTATTCATAATTCTCATGAATTTTTACATTTTTATTAAATAACTCATAAAAGCAAATAATTAATTCCTTACATCTCAATTTATTTTTAATAATAACCAGCAAAGTCATAAATTCATCCAAATTTCACTTAAGCCAATCGAATACAGTCAAACTGTAAATTTCAATAAGAAATTTAATTATTTATGCAATTTTTGTAATTAAGTAGTTTATTTATGGTATACAATTATGTTCATTAAATAGTAATACATATTTATATTTGGTATTTTACTGATCACTGCATATATCATTAAAATATTTAGTATTTACTTTATTATTACTTAATAAAATGCAAATTAGTTCAAGTATAAAAAATTATTACTTTTATAAATTTATCAAAAATTCATTTAAACAAATACTTGAATTATTATTTGAGTAAAAAAAAATTTGACAATGAATAAATAAATAGATTATTAGAATTGTCAATGATATTTGACTTACAAAATAGAATACTTAATTAAGCAATCATATAATTAAAATAGCAATTAAAAAAATTTGTAATAAATGTTTTGTTATTTGTAAAAATGTTGCAATTTAGTAAGTTAAATGATTTGAACTAATTTAGCAAGAAATTGTAATTATCAGTGAGGAAGTAAGTTTGTGTGTAGACAGACACCTGTTGCACTGCATCGACCGCCTAAATTCTTGTTGTGCAAGTGAGAGTAATTATTTTTATAATTTAAAAATAAGCAAGCAATCTTACTTATCCATCTTATCTGTGTATGTATGTATAAGTTTGTAAAAATAAAAAATAAAAAATAAAAAAAAAATAAAAAAAATTTTCTAAGAATATTATCGTTTGCTTTTTGAAAAATACAAGTATAAAGCTGTTAGTAAATTTACATCTTTGCCAGTGCTATTTCTAAATTTTAAACTGAGAAAACTTTCAAATTTTAGTATAAGAATTACAATTATGTAATATTTGTTTTTTGATTATTTCAGTATTTAATTTCGTATTAATTATTAATATTAAACTTTATTACTTTTTATATTTACTTTAATAATTATTACTTTTTGCATTGAATAATAATTCGTTTAATTAATTTTCATAACTCTTTTTTTAAAAAAAAATCATTTATTAATTTAGTAGTGTTAGTTTTAAATTGTTACTGCAACCAATTTACCAAATTATTTGTATTATATTAATAGGTTGAATTACATTTTCTTTCTTTTTTAAAGATTTAAAGTTTAAGAATTACATGAAATTGAATATATTATTTTTGCTTTGCGTTGTATATTACGACTTTGCTTTTCAATATGTAGTAATAAATATTTGCATTTTGATAAATGAACTAAACATTTTTATATTTATATTTTGCAGCATAATGAATAAATTCGTATTTTAATTATAAAATTATTTTTCTATTCTATTACTTTTCAATTTTATGCACAATTTTTACCAACGCTTTAATTAGATCAATTATTTGCATATTAAATATTTTATCAAATTTACATGCTCGTATTATTTGAAAATGAATTTTATTACTTGTAATCTATCATGCTAATTAATAATATTAATTATTTAGTAAGAGATTCAATTTTATTAGTTGACAGCAAGAAAGTTTCAAAATAAATTTGTGCTTTGACGTCAATAATTAATAGTTTTGTACAAAAATGCGTTAATTAATCCAAATATTAAGACGCATAACAAGTAAATAAAGGCTTATTTATTAAGCTCAAATTCTAGTAGATATTATTTAAGTGATTAATACTCTCATGAGCAGCTATATAATGTATAGGTTTGCAAGATACGTGCGTATGATACCCGCACATGTATATAAAAAGCTAAAAATATTTACTTATAGGAGGAGGAAATGAATGTTAGTGGTGGGTGTAGACTGGTTCGTTGGGAAGTGCTGAGAGTGAGTATAAGTTCAAGAGTGATGATTCGAGAGTAGTAGCTCGAGACTACAATGCTATCGTTCAAATTTTAGCCTATTTAACTTAGACTAGCAAGTTCTCGGCTCGAGTTCTTGCTGTACATACGTTTCGTGAGCAACTGCTTGCTTTGCTATGTGGTAATACTAGACAGGTGGGCATAGGATAGTTGGCTGATCACTCGATAGATGCATAGATTCAATAGATTAAGTAGTGCTTGAATAAATGATTAGATCAGTGTAACCAAATCAAATCGGATATATTGGTCGAATAAGGTTGATAGATTAATTAAATAAATCAATTATTAGGTTGAATACTTTTATCAGATAATTTGTATATGTAAAATTAATTCAAGAATAAAATAAATTAGAAAAAATATTTTTTAATATTTTGCATTCCTTCAAAGTTTCTTACAAATTTTGAATAAAATGAAATGTATTAGTACTGAAATGAAGTTAGCTCAGATTACATTACAATGCACGCATATTTGTTTTCAACTTTGATTGCCACTTTTTTTCAACTTTTGTGACTTATTTTATTGTATTCTTAATATTTAATAAGATTGAAACTTCAAAAAATGTAAAGTAAACTTTGAACACTTTTAATTTACTATAAAAGATGCAAATTAGTCACTTGATAATACTTAACAGTAAATTACTCATTTTCTCAAATTAATAGTAAGTAAAAAAGTTAATTAACTAAATTAAAAATAGTAGTGATAGTTGTGATTAGTATAAGATCAAAGTGCAAAATTTTAGAAGGTCAATTTTTTACTCATCGCTTACTTCGTTCTACCACGTCTTTGCTACTGAATTTGAATAAAATATATCTATTCACGACTTAG